TGTTCCCCTTGGTGTAATATCCTTTTAGGTACACGTGTAGATGAGTGAATAGCAGCAACACCTGAACATTCTAAAATTGACCTCATTGCCTCAAGAAGACTAGAAAAATTGTGATTAGAGCATTGTGATGAACTCTGTCATGAAGAATACACATTCACCTACCAAGTCTCTACTTAAGTTAGCCATAATCTTTAAATTCATTATCATACATAGACAGACTGGTACTTGGATAAGGGGCAGTTGCTATATTAACAGCCAGCCAACCATGATGACCTCAGTCTCAAATTAATGCGCTCAGCACCTTGCTGACTGTGACTGATCAGTCTTTCTTTCAGCACTAATGACATATGTACACATGCAAAACTAAGACACTTCTTCCTATAGATGAGAGGACAATTTTGTTTACTAAATAAAACAAATTTTGGTTATAAATTGCATGTATCCTACACTATAGATTAGACCTTATGTATCATTGGCACTTTGGTCCCTGTAGTTATTTAATTACTTACAATGTTTACAAAGACGTCTGCAACCTTGACTATTTTGTATTCAATTTAAGCATCTCAAAATTAATATGCTTATCATAAGTAGCAGAAAATATTGCTCATGAGGAACACTTCAAAACATTTCAGCCATTCCTCACCTTTCAGGCGTCAAATTTTAATTACAAACTGACCAATGGATCAAATGTTTTAGCACTAGTTAGAAATTAGAATACTGCTTATATTATACAAATATAACGTCGCTTATTCCAGACCTCAACTGACACCTATTTGGAATGTACTGTCTCTTATTCATTTTTAGTCAAAATAATTTTTTGAGAAAATATTTCTCAACAGACAACTTCTTTGGATATGTAACACCCTCCTAATCAAAGCCCTGTAAAACTAATTATTCTATATTAGATAAACAATTACATATTCTGCAAAGGCATTAAATTTGTCTGCACAAAACAAGCAGGTTCCACCATTGTCAAGAGAGTGAGCTACTACCAACTTTATATACCAAGTACAATCATAGTACATTCTGAAAAAAATGTGCTTGATACTTTTCTTTGCAATACAGATTAAACAAGCAAGTCCTGACCAAAATACTGTGTACATAATTTGATTTAAACAGAATGAAAACCTCATGGTTGTAGTATTGCTGAAAACAAAAACACAGACTTTTAAACCTTGCAGGTCAGAATCTTTTTCACTTGGCACAGGAATCAAAATCATAAGACTGTATAAACAGCCCCTTAAATAAAACAGATGCAATGAAAGATCAAAACTTGCACCTGGAAAGTGCAGTAAACAGCTGTGTTTTTGAATATCTATATGTGCATAGATATGAGGTCTTTGCCCATCACAGGCCAAGGCACAGCAGATATCTGATTCAGGTCGACATGGGTCAATTCATATTAATAGCAACCTATATGATCATCACACAATTTGCCGAAAATAACATTTACGACCAGCACCACAGAGAGTGAAACACTGATAATCCTAATCAACTATGGAATTCTGCTATACAATTTAAATTGTGCAACTCAAAATTATGTTTACACAACTAAGATCTTGATAAATTAAACATATTTTCAACATCTCTATAAAACCATAGCAGCTGTGATGTTACTGAATATAAATAATGATATAAATCAAGGTAGGAAATACAACTGAATGAAATCAAATAATATTATTGCAGTTTAAATCATACTTATCTATCATTTCAATTATTAGTAGAAGAATTGAATTATTAAAGGGGTGGGGTGAACAAATAAATAATATTTATAGGAGTCCAATTTGGGCTTAAGAGACACTACAGATAATAGCTTCTTCTTTGTCGACTTTTTCTTGTTGAAGCATGTTACTATCAGAAAATGAATGAAGTAAATCTAATATTTTGTTGCTTGAGCAAAACGCTAAGAAATGGACATTGGTATAATTAATCTGTTATTGCAAATTCTAATTTTCTGCTGATGTGAGCTGAGATGTCCATAGCCTACATGAAGTACTTTTTATCTGAAACCATCGTAAACAAATGAGA